GTCCATCCCGAGCGGTGGAGAAGGCATCACGATAGCACCAGAACGCATGCTCGAGTGTGCTACGGCGTGGCCTTTTTGGGGGTTAAGCTTGCGGGAAGGGATGGAGGGAGGGAGGGAGGGAGGTGAGGGAGGGGAGAGAGAGAGGAAGGGAGGAAGGAAGGAAGGAAGTACAAGAGAGAGAGAGAGAGAGACACAGATGAGAGCGGGGGAAGTACACCCTATACTGCTCGTTTTTTCACATTCCGGGGAAACCAACACGGCAACCCTAAGCAGCAATTTCACCTGGAGCTCGCACTCGGGCGCGCCTTGGTGCGCGGGGGGGGGGGGCTTCGGGTCTCCTTCTGCCTAGCAGCAGAAGAAGAAGAAGACAGAAGAGAGAGAGAGAGCCCCCCAAGTGCACAGAAGAAGCAACAGGGAGGGGTTTTTGGTGAATGTACGCCCCAGCCACATGCAAATGTATGTTAACGGTGTACGTTTTACGTTGGTCTGCTCGGGCCTGCCTCGCATCTGGTGTGCGAAGCACACCGTCGAACTTCAAGAACGCATCGTGCAGGTGTGGAACCGCCGGACCAGGGAGATCCAGGTCCTGACGAAAGGTGGCCAGGTTGCAGTCCACGACGGTTTGCAAAGGGCTTATTGCATGGACCCAACTAAGTGCGTCAAAAATTGCCCAAACGGAAGAGTTGAGGAGAGAAGACGTGAGTTCACGAGCCAGCAGAGTTTCTAATCAAGCTGGGCCTGCAGCCGAACTCAGAGAACGCTATTTCTGCCCCTTGTAGGAGTCTCAGTCTCTCTCTCTCTCTCTCTCTCTCTTTGGGTTGAACCCGCACCTTCAGGGCTAACTTAGGGAGGTTTCTCTCTCTTTGGTGTGTGCCCCCTGTTGTTGTGGGCATGGTTGTCCTTGAAGCTGAGGAGAGTATGGACTCCTCGGCTCCAGTGCGGCCGTCGCCATGCAAAGTGATGGCATGGTGGTCGCTTGTTTCAAGGCCGGGCGCGGAAGCTGGGGGCTTAGGGTTTAGGGTTTAGGGTTTCCGAAATCATGGGTACCGTATTCGGGTCCTTATTCTTACAAGGGGATCCTAATATTGGGGGATCTATATTTTGGGGGTCCCCCATGTTCGTAAACCCCCAGTTCAGTTCAAGTCACCCCTTCCAGTCCTTGGACTTACTTTTGGTTAGTAGGGAAGGAGGGAATGAGGTACCCTATATATCCCTCAAAGGGTATATACAAAAAGGATATGGGGTACCTCATTCCCTCATTCGCTACTCACCAACAGTACGGGGAAAGCTGTTTCAGGCTGGTCTCGCCAAAGCCTGGAACGTGAAGGAAGAGACATCCCCGTTCCTGCTAACATCAGGCTTTCAGCCGCATGTCGCAAACCCTTCGTATGCCCTGATGCTGTAGTCTTCATGAGTTTGAATTGGGATGTTCCCCCTTATACCTAGCAGTCCTGGGAATTATCATTATCAAGGCCCCCCCATGGTAGTCTTCATGAGTTTGACGTAGCAAACGCAGTGTGCTGTTCCGGATCGCATTCGGAAGGGTGCGCGCTCCATTTAAGCTGCGTGAGCCTGAAATTGGCCGCCGCCGGTTCTTGATATAGTTCCCTTCATGTGTATGGGGGATCAAGCCAAGCCAATCAAGCTTCTGTGGGAGGTGGGTATGTCTGAATGACTCTGCAAGACCACTGAAGCTATTATATCCCCTATTGAGAACTGTTAACTATAGATCCCAAGAACCCCCTGAAGCCAACTGTACTCTCCAAGAAGGCACACAGAACTTTCAGACATGCCCATACCAGCCTGCGCATCTGCTGCGACCTGTTGCTGCACTCCGGGTGCTCGAAATTGAAATGGAGCTGGGGGCCAAGGCTTTGCTGTGTGGGGGACTATGGCAAGTGCCTAGCCATGTGATGGAATGTGACCGTCTGGTCTGTGGCATCTCTTGGTTGATACCGACATTGCTGAGAGGGCCCCCAGAGGTTTCGGTTGTCATCGCCCATGGTGCAGAACATCTTCCGCCTTGCCGCGCAGAGTAGAAGGTGCTCCGAACTCCTGAGGCTGTCACGAGCTTCCATAGCCCTAACCCTAAACCCTAAACCTTAAACCCTAAACCCTAAAGCAACATCGGACCTTTGAGCTCTTGACCCACAGGAGAGACAGGAAGCAAAGATGGGTGCCGGCACGAAAATTGCTGCACCCACTGTTTTACGACGAGAGTTGTGCACAAGGCGCAGCCTCCTCCGAAGTCATTGAAAACATCGTCATTAGGCAGGTCTTAGCACTAGTGGTATTCGTATTAGTTTTTTTTGCTCTTATAGTATTAGCGCTTTTTTTGGCTCTTGTAGTGTTAGTATTTTTTCGCCCTTAGAGTATTAGGAGTTTGTTGCGCTTAAACATTTTTGCACATGGAGAAGAGTTGCGAAGTCATGCTAGTTCCGTTTATCATGTCCAGGAACCTCAAAGTCCAAGGTTAGTGAATGGATTTGGGGACTCTGGTGAAGATCCCCTGGCTGTCTTATCCTGATCAGAACGGGGATGGTTTGGCGCCCTATTATTATTATAAATTGCATAGAGGTGATAGGCTCGAGGCCTTCGGAGTCAGATGTGAGTGTGGCTCACGACGTAGAACCGATTGTGCAAAATTGCCAGTGTTTAAAACTTGTAAAGCCCTTCTGGTTAACTGGTGCCGTTCGCAAGCATGCCTTCCTTTCGCCAGTTGAGCAGTGTAAAACGAGATGATAAAAGTGAAGGACTTGCATGCCAAAGTATGTTTCTACAAATACGCGCAATCAGTGGAAACTTTTCATCAGCATATACAAGGGGGGGGGGGGTCTGTTCCGGCCCAGCGATACCAGCATTTATTCAGGATGAGGTCTAAACTTCGAACGGCACCGTGACCAGATGTTGGGTTGACTGCGAGGATCGTGTTCCCTGGGCTGCTCTCCACATCTGATGCAGCAGTTCGGCCTGTTCGACCTGCTTGTACAAAGAGAAGCAAAAAGGGAGTCTCCGGATACAGGGAGGCAGACAGATAGATGGATAGAGACCGTGGTTGGCAGTGCCTCGATTTCGTAGTGAATATCATGATGTAAGTTCTCAGATGGGACAGGCCCTTAATGAACGTCCTGGGGTTCGAATTTGAGCACCCCACCCTGCCCGGGATTCTTAGATGAGGGGATGACCTCTATAGGCCTCGAGGCTGATTGCCTCGAACTCTTGAGAACAAGTGAGTTCTTGAAAAAGTTCCGTTGCTGCGACCTTGAATATTCTGGGGATACTCCCGGATTTCGCACACCTACCCGACGATGTAGCACAGACACACATGACCATGGAAGGGATCACATGCTTAGACAAGCTTAAAGAGTCTAGAAAGAACCAGGAAAAGGACAACTTTACAGGAGAATGGCTGCAATTTGCTGATTCGCTTCAAGACGCTTTGCGAAGACCCTTTCATCCTTAACTCTCTGCAACGTTGTTCCCTTGTGGCTTAGCCGTAGGGGATTCGAATAGACGACCCCAAAAAGCACTACACGGGAGCCCTTAAGAGTACATATACCACCCCAAAACAGGTACTACAAAGGAGCCCTGAGGAGTATACCACCCCAAAGAAAGGCCCCAAAAGGTACTACCCAGAGCCCTAACCCCTAAACCCTAAACCCTAAACCCTAAACCCTAAACCCTAAACCCTAAACCCTATATAAACCCTCGTTTCAGTCATCTTTGGGTCCAGGTGCCGATGATGTCCAGCTCGCTTGGCGAAGCTTGGGAGGTGCTTCTCCTCGAACTTCTGTGGTTCCACTGCGCCGAAGAACCAATAGGCTTCAGTAGGGTTCAATAGGGGGTTTTCCGAAATTCGGGGTTTTCCGAAATTTCGGGGTACCTTAATGTTGACCTCGCTTTTTTCCCCCCCCCCCCCGTCCCCCCCGTCTCAATTGATGTTTGTTTCCGCCCCCCCCCCCCCCCCTCCCCACCCATTGAGGACCCAAAAGGGCCCAAAGAAAAAAAAACATCGGTCCCCGGCAGGATTCCTTACAACCTAATTGAGTTCCGGGATCCGGACTCCTTAATTGCGGGGGGTTTATAAATATGAGGTTAACATTATTGGGGGGTGCTTGTTAGAAGAAGCCTACAATTTCGGGGTATAATCTTGGGGCCATTTTGGGGGTCCAACAATCTTAGGGCCCCCTTGTTTTCGTATACCCCCAATACAGTTCAGAGTCTCCCCACAAGTCCTTACAAGTCCTTGTGCCGATACAACATGTGCAATAGCTTGTGCTGCCTGGGGCGACAGCTGTGGACTCGTACTGACATCGCCAGGTTTGGACGATCCCTTCATTGTGCTCACAACAGCTGGTCCGTGACAGACTCAGCCACATTCTTCCATCTCCAATTCAGGAACACCACAGCCTGGGTTATGGTTTAGGGTTTAGGGCAGTTTAGGGTTTAGGGTTTAGGGCAGTTTAGGGTTTAGGTTTTGGGTTTAGGGTTTAGGGTTCACAGCCTGCCACAAAGGCAAGAAGTGGCAGCCGCCCTGCTCCCGCATGAACTTCCTGTCGGGGACCCAGAGATGAGTTCACGAGTGCTTGTTTTGTCGCCATTGTTTCTGCCTCCCCCCAGGTTGTCGAACACAGCATGGGCCCCGGTCAGGGGTTCAAGGATGTTCAAGGGGTATCTGAACTGACTTAGGAAGGTGGGATGGCAAACATGCTCGTTCCATGCGCAGTCCGCATTCCAGATGATTGACCTAGAGGGCCTCTAAATCGCCTCCAGTCAAAGTTCAGACGTGTCCCGTGTCGTAGAACATTTGGACTTGCAGGAGCCAGACAGATGCAAAACAAGACTCAACACGACTATGCAAGACTGCAGTTTAGTCATCGTTGAATGCCCCAACCACGTGACCCTGCGAGAATACAAACGACAATCTTTGACGACAGAGCTCGGCTTTTCTCGTGACAGGTAAACAAGCACGCAAGTGCGCCATGTAGCCCGTGGTGCAAATGCACCGCTTTGCTCATGCGCTGGCCCTTTTTCGCCTGGCGGCTTCTGGACAGGATGTGACATTCCTTCCGGCATGCAGCCTGGATTAGAATAGACCGGTTTGCTCTCATCCCTGGAACGCATCAAGGCGTGCCGTCCTGCCTGCTGGGCGCATTTGCCACTCAGGGCCTTGATGCTTCAACAACTTGACTGCTTGCAGTGCCACAACCTGAACTGCAAACCCTGCACGCGGAACATACATACATATGTATATACGTACATACATCTATCTCTATATACCTATCTATTTATATTTCTATATATATCTATATATCTATATATATATATCTCTATATATCTATATATCTATATCTATGTCTATATCTATATCTTTTTCTTATCTATCTATCTATATATCGATAGATCCGTATATCTCTATATACTTATATATATGCATATCTATACATCTATACATCTATACATCTATATATATATATATCTAAATATATCTATATATATATGTACATATATAGAAACAACATATACATATAAATGCTACATATACAATTGTGTTTGTACTAGGCAAAGAACTACTCAAATACTATCTGACAAGTCCACTGAAATACCTTATGTTTACATATTCATGAAACATTGTGCTTATCATTGTATGCGAATTTAACTCCTGGAATATTAAGTAAATAGCCCAATCTGACTCAAGCGAATACTATTCAAAATCCCATACTCAACTAAAATGTGAAATAAACACGAGCGGCAACGGAAGCGATTCTACTTAAATAACAATGTAAAGACTTCTCAAGTACTAAATAAAGACCACTTATATACCTTCCTAGAAAAGTAGTTAGTAAAGGCTATAGCACAGAATACTGCTTTGTACATAAAAAGAATTTTGTACTAGGCAAAGTATAAACCAAATCTATCTGAAAGGTACACTGTAATAACTTATGTTTACATATTCATGAAATATTTCTTGTTTTGAAATCATCATTCTATACGATTTATCTGCTAGAGTAAGTATTAAGTAAATAGCCCAATCTGACTCAAAGGCACACTATTTAAAACACCATACCCAACCAAAATGTTAAATAAAAACTAATGGAAATAGAACACTTTCAAAATACCATGCCCAACTAAAATATGCAATAAGCACTACTGGAAATAGAAGCGGTTCTACTTACATAACAATGTAAAAAACTTCTCAAGTACTAAATAAAGACCGCTTATATACCTTCCTAGAAATATAGTTAGTAAAGGCCATGCACAAGAATACTGCTTTGTACATAAATAGAATGTGTGCTAGGCAAAGTATTAATCAAATACTATCTGAAAAGTCCACTGAATTATCTTATGTTTACATATTCATGCCAATAGCGCCCAATTTGACTCAAGTGACAACTATTTAAAGGACCATACTCAACCAAAATACGAAATAACCACTAACAGCAAAAGAAGCGATTCTACTTGCATAACAATGAAATCTTTGTTTCTGAAGTATTTCATTAAGACCACTTATATACTATGTCCGAAAGGCACAATTTGCTGAAGCAAGCTTAGAACTGCACAGTCTTCCTAGAAAAGTACTTAGTGAAGGCCATGCACAAGCAAATTCGCAAGTACAAAAGCACACTTAAAAATGCGTAGTTATTGCCACGTAAAGGCGAATCAAAAAACCAAAATACCAAAACCAAAAAAACAAAAAAAACAAAACTAAAAAAAACACAAAAACCAATTTTCCGGAACTCTTGGAGAAGCCTCGTAGGGATTCCTGAGAGTTCCGGAAAATTGTTTTTTTTGGTTTCTTTGTTTTTTTGCTTTTGGTTTTTTTGGTTTTTTTGGTTTGGTTTTTTTTGGTGTTTTTTGTTTTTTTGGGTTTTTTTGGTTTGGTGTTTTTGGTCTTTTGATTGCCCGTGTATTCGGATTTTAGTTTCATTTCAGTCTACGCCCTAAGAAACACGCTAGATTGCACACCGAGTTTGCTTGCAGTGCAGCTGGATGACTTAAGACAAGGCGAAAAAGGGTAGGTCACTGGGGGGGGTACCATATAAAAGTATGTATATGCAGCAGATGTGTGTGTATACATATATCTATATCAAAATCTATATATGAATTGAGTTATTTACTTACACACATACGTATATCTGCATCTGCACAGAGCTGTTGCAAGTGGCGCAGTTGGAGCCGGTCACATGTATAAGGTGCCGGCGACACATGCGCAGCTGAGCCAGCAGGGATGGGGGCATTCAGGGATAGGGTTTAGGGTGTATGTTTGCCTAGACAGAAAGTTCATCAAAGGCCTCTCCCAGCTGACTTCAGGAGTCTGGGTTCAAAAAAGGGTTTAGGGTTTAGGGCTTAGTTTCGGTTTGTTTGGCCCCTCTCACCTCTTTCGGTTCAAGTTGCCGATTGCAAAATCGCTTGGATCGCCCTTCGCAGAGGCAGCTGGGTCTTGAGCATAGCGGCCGAACCTCCCTGAAACAGCAACCCTAAACCCGAAACCCTACACAAACCCTAAACCCTAGACCCTGAAAGAGAGCTGAGAAGTGCTCAGGTCAAGAAGCCCCCGCGAGCTGCGGATGCACCGACAAAGTCAATTTCGGAAACCGGCGGATGGGGCTTCAGCTATGGGCCTCTACCAACTCGCAAATCAGGCGAGTGGGGGTATAGGACTCCATGAGTTTGGGTTCTCTCAACAGATTAACTCCCAGAGGCAGAGGTTTTAGCGTGTGAACCGGATGAACGCGGTCTCAAGGTAATACACAGTTAGTACTAAATGCATGGGGTCTAAAGTCTTTGGTCCGTCCATGAAGAGGGCCCATTATAATATTAGAGGTAAGGGACGCACGCTATATTTTGATTAGTGGTTGCGTATCATGCGTACACACCACGCATTGAGACCGCCCCACGAAAAGCCCAATAGAATAGTAAACGCAAAGCACACTGAACTTGCCTTGCTCACGCCCTTGGTATATAGGGCTTTTAGGCGGTTAACCTGACATGCGATTCCAAGGATTAGTGACTTGGAAAAAGAGGTTGGGTCTCAAGGTGTGATGGGTGAACAAGGGGAAAGACCACCAAGATGAAGAGGTTGTTACCACTATACAGGGTTTAGGGTTTAGGGTTTAGGGTTTAGGGTTTAGGGACTGGTGCGCCCAGAGCGGATGACAGCCCAGATGCACGTTGAATCACCTGGGTAGTTGTCAAAATACGGGCACCTTCTTGGACACCCCAAATATTCGGCGCCGTATTATTTTTGGGAACCCCAAAAGGGACCATAACTTTGACAACCACTCTAAACCCCAAACCCTAAACCCTAAACCTTAAACCCCAAACCCTAAACCCTAAACCCTAAACCCTAAACCCAATTGATGCAGCCACAGGGCGCTTCCCAAATGACGACATGATGACAGAGGCCATGCAGGGCCAGTGGGGGCTTGGTGGTCGGGACGCTGCTGGTCCGAATGAGGGCATCATTTTTTGACGAACCGATTGCAGAAAATCCTGCAATCTGAGTTTTTTGAACTGAAGATGTGCAGAGACTGGGTAAACACCGAAAACGGTTCTCTTCATCAATTGGCTAAACAGCGCTGCTGCTTTAGCCATTCCTGGCAAACTGCGACCTGAATTGAACTGGAGTTTTCGGAAGGTTGCACATCTTTGGTTTTGAAGGTCTCGTTTTTCGTTCCTGGTTGATTTAGCTTCAATGAGGGGCGTAGTCCTTCCTTCGTGCCAGTGAAGCAATACACTCAAGAGGTGGCAGTGGTCTGCATTGGTGTTCTGGCAGCTCCACCCCCCCCCCCCCCCCCCCCCCCCCCCCCCCCCCCCCCCCCCCCCCCCACCCCCCCCCAAGCAGAACGGCTTGTTACAAACCCTCTGTCGAAAAAATCGCCGTCTGGGCGTTTAATGCCCTGTCTTTTGCCCCCCCCCCCCCCCCCGTTCTGTCAAGTGCCAAATTCTCGTGGACAATGGGAATTCCTTCCTTACTGGTGTGGGGCTGTAAAAAATAGTTTAGACCCTAAACCCTAGATGACTCCACCCACCTGTGCGGAAGCACCAAAGCTCAGGACATCGCGATCATGGCACAAATGGGAGCACGAATGGTGCGGCTGTATGGGAGCGACCCGCGCTTCGACGGAACCAAGTTCCTGAACCACTCGAACAGCTGGGGGCTGAAAATCGTGGCTGGCATGTCCGACTACCCATATGAGCACGGGCCGGGTAGCTGCTGGACTTCTGCCACTTGTCTGTTACCGTGAGGCGGTCAGAGGCAGTGCACCTCAATGCCCCTGCCCCTAAACCCTCCCGAAACCCTAAACCCTAAACCCTGAACCCTTTTAAACCCTAAACCCTAAACGGACCTTGCCTGCCTTGTGCGAGAGCGAGCGACTAAAGCCTAAACCCTGTGTCGTTCATGGCAACTTGCAGGTGCCTACATTCCCACTTGTTACCTCACTTTCTAAGTCTTTTCCTGACACTGTGTCTGAATGGGAATCTTGGAGATCGTGATAGTGAGTGGACCTTCCGACCGAATCCTTGCCTGCCTTGTGCGAGTGTGAGAGCCGAAGCCCTGTTTCGTTCAGCTAGGCGGGCGGAGAAAAAACCCTAAACTGGGCCTAAGCCCTGAAGCAAAAAGAAAGAAAAGCCCCACTTCTGAAGAACCTGGACTGCTACGAAGCCATCCGGGAGTCGTACAACTTCACCCTCGACAGCAAGGGCTTCCTCGCGCAGGGCAAGTACCACCCTGCGCTGGACACCTTGGCACCTGGGCTTAGAAGGCGGCCCATTGGGATGTTACCCCTTATCCTAACAGTCCTTCAGAGGCACCCTAGTACGCCTAATTATATTTACAACTAAAGACTGTTAGGCCAACTTATCCAGCCTCTTTGCAATGCAGATCATCGGACATGGCGCACTTGGCGCAAGATGACGATGCGAGTGAAGAGAGCTCCCTAATATCCAGCACACATAGCAAGATGTCAGGCCGTAAGAATGAGCCTTGATCGAATTACTTAATCCCTTCCACAGAACAGAACCTGAAGCTGAAAGCCAGGGAAAGCAATCGGTAGGACGATGTAGGACGAAAGTGCGTTGATGGCTTTTGGAAGCTCGGAAGCATCTCGAAACACCCACGCTGCCTCTTGGAGTACCCGCGAACTCTTTTCACAAAACTTGATGAAGCAAAGCTCAGGTTCTTACCAACGAGCCGGACTTGAAATTCATGGCGACTGGAGGCGCTTGCCGGTTGTTCCAGCAGGGCTTTGAGTTGCTCTGCCACAGCCCAATCGCTGCGCAATCCCTGACTTGATCCGTGGTGTTCAAGTGAGTTTATTTGGAGGCAAAAACTACATGCGCGCAGTGCTGAGCGCCTTCGATGGTGTGCTGGCAGCCGAAACGGAGAAGGGCCTAGATGTCACTTCCCCAGAGCCTTGCTAGCAGTTTAGACAATTTAATTTCGGGGTTTCGAAAGTTCTGAGTTAAGCTTGGCGATGCGTAGGCTATCTAGTGAAGCTCCAGGAGAAAAAGCCCAGTTTGGTTCGTCCTCACGCCTTACGAAAGAAAGAAAGCACGAAAGAAAGGCCTAGTGCAGTGCACAAGCATGGTGATGCCTGGTGCATTTTCCGTACAGCCTGAATCCCAAATTCGTGCGCATCGCATCCCCAGAGGTGTTAGCCCGACTCACGACCCCAAACAAAGACGTCCAATTGAACAGGCGTTCGGACTCAGGCCCTATTCCAACGGTAGGGCCGCCGTAAAACCCGTACAATCTTCGTTTCGGGGTGCAATTCGTGGGTGAGACTTTGTGACTGCCCCCTTCGCCACAACTCGTAGATAGATAGGAGGCTATGTGCATTGCACAGCATGCCCTTTGCCCTGCTGCAAGGAGAACATCAAGTTCACGGCTGCCTTCTCCTATAGTGTATGCCCAAGGTGCAAGCACCTCCTCGAACTGAGGCTGGGACGACTTAGGCTTGCTGTCCCACACGCAAGATCCCCGACCTCTGACCTCGGCCAGTCTCCATGCTTTGAAGGTCCATGGGCTGCTGCGTGGTCTGTACCACAGGCGGCACTGAGGGCACACCCTGCGCCTCACTGGGCGCAGTTGGCAAAGCCCAGGAGGCCTGAACGAGTAAAAATTGTGGAAAGGACGGGGACAGTTTGTAGATGGAGGGAGCGCAAGATGCGCAAGTCAACTGGCCTTCTGAAGCTTGGTTCAACCTCCCAAGCGATCTCACACAAGTCCGGGAGCCAGATGGATTGTTTTGCAAACGGTCATGTTTGTGCGCAAACCTCATGCGCCGCTACCGACGTGTTAGTATGTGCTGTGCCCTCGCGTGTGGAACAGCGTTCACCGCGTCACACTGTGCCCAGTCGGGCCGAAGCTTGTTTGTATTCTCATCGTTCAGGCAGGAGGAATGCGATGTCCAGCTGTGCGGAAGCCAAACTTTGCCGACGACTGCCCAGGAGATTCGTGACGACATGTTCGGAGGTTTCTAGGTCGGACCGTGCTCCCTGCGTTGACAGACACCCGCCTGTTGTTTTGGACCCAAGTGGCACCCAACAGTAGCTGCTGGGAAGCTTCATGCTTCCTTGTGCTTGGCACGTGAAAGAGCTGCTTTGTCCCTAAGAAGTGCAAATGGAGGCCTAAACCCTAACCCTAAACCCCAAATGGAGGACTTCCGATGATCATGGACTTGCACTTTGCCATGGAAGATCCGAGCAGCGTCGGTCACTGGTTTGGCGATTGCTGGTTCAGGAGGTGTCGGTGGTCTGCGTCGATCTGCTGAGGTTGAGCTACACCTCTTAGGTGATCAAGAGGGTTTAGGGTTTAGGGTTTAGGGTTTTAGGGTTTTAGGGTTTAGGGTTTAGGGTTTTAGGGTTTAGGGTTTAGGGTTTAGGGTTTTGCAAGCTGCACTGCTTAGTCTTGGTTTCTTCACAGCACATCAAAGCAACTTCTGGCTGCTGACCACTGAGGCTACACCTTCAGGACACAGGGCTGGAAGCAAGCCTTCGACAACCGCTGGATTCATTCCTTCAATGGCCTCTTGTCAAGACGAGCTGACCCGTCCCTAAATTACTAAACCCTAAACCCTATAAACCCTATAAACCCTATAAACCCTATAAACCCTAAACCCTGAAACCCTGTACCTGGAGCCATCTTAAACCCTACATCTTCTGCGGCATCCTTGAGCTGATACTGTAGTTGCCGTCCTGCAGGTTTTGTGGGCGCGAACGCGTTGAACAAGCAGTTCATACAGAAATACATGCAGCTGCCCTTCAACAAGGGTAAGCCTGCAGAGCAGATGATCAAGGCAGGTCTCTTTCTGACAAAGCATTGCCAGATGCGTTGTGCTGTAAGAAGTCGTTCAGCATTCTTGATGCTGAAGCTTTTTTTTTGCAGACTCTTCCCGACTTTTCTGCTAATTAATGGCATGCCACAGGTGTTCATGGGCGAGTACGGTGATCCACACCTGGCCAAAGATCCAGCGAAGCTACAAGCGGACTTGGAGCGAGCACGTGCTTTGGTCGAGGACAAGACCAACCCCTTCGCCCCTTGACTTGTAGCAACTGGTGTGGATAAGAGCGGCTCTCACCTGCTGGTGCTAGACCACATGGGTTTAGGGTTTAGGGTTCTTGGTTCTTCAGCCAGTGGAGTTTGGCACTCCGAAAGATGCGTGGAGCACTGTCGCCAAGGTTGCCTTCAACTTCTTTGAGTACGAGGTGCCCCATGTGGACCCAGCCTACCTAGTGCAGCTGCAAGTTGGGATCCTTTCTCAGCAGATTTAGGGTTTAGGGTTTAGGGTTTAGGGTTTAGGGTTTAGGGTTTAGGGTTTAGGGTTTAGGGTTTAGGGTACCTTGCCTGCTCCCTTCAAGGTGGCCTTCTGGAAGCCCTGCCCCGATCCAGCAGGACCTTCGGAGCAATGGCAGCTGGGGGGGTGGGGGGGGGGAGGGGGGTTGGGTTGGTTGTGAATTCTTCGGGTCCCTTACCAAGCTGTCACGCGGTGCATCTTCCAGGTTAGCGGGAAAATCAGCGATGAAAGGTACTTCTCGCAAGAAGTGGCCTTTCGCAAGACTTTTTTTTCGCAGAAAGGCTTCTCGAAAACACTGCGCGCGCAGCGCCGCGAGAAAAGTCACTTCACAAAAAGTGGCTTTCGAGAAAAGTTGCTTTATCAAGGCCACTGCCAAATAATAGGGGGCCTTTATCCGGGTACCACGCGTAAAACGGCTCCTAAATCCTATAAGCCTTACTTATACCGGTGCCCTTTACGTTTAGAACCCCTCTAAGGGGACTCTACTTTGGAGGTCACCCTCAGGATAAATTTTCCACTGGCCTGCACTGAGGTTGGGACCATTGGGAAGCCATTGCTTGGGACGATCCCATCCATGCCCCGAACCCTCCAAAAGACTGCAGTGAAAGGCTGGGATGCCTGGAATGTTTCTTTTTTCATACGTTGCCTTGAAGCGGTGGAAGAGCACCACATGCTCCGACTCATCACTCCTGGTGAGGCTGTTCGGAACATTCTCGGTGGGAGACATTCCGGACTCTTGGCTGTGGACAAAAGACTTGGGTTTAAGTTTAAGGTTTAGGGTTTCGGGTTTAGGGTTTGTAAAAGTGCCGGGCAGACAGGCAAATCTCAGTGTCGTGGCACAGGTCAGCAATACGGGAGGCATTGACTACGACAGCAGGAATGTCTACACCGTCGACTGCGTCAAGCCTATATTCCGGGGCAAACCTCAGGTGCGACCGCATGGCATATGGGGGTTTCCGAAATTTGGGGTACCTTATTGAGGTCCCTATTCAGGGAATCCTACTATTTGGGGGTCTGTGTTTTGGGTCCCTTATTTTCGTAAGCTCCCGTATCGTTGGATTCTCTAAATTCAGGTCCCTTCTGGGGTTCCTGGTCCTATGAGAATGTGGAGCCGTGGAGCCTTGCTTTCCGCACATTTTTAGGTACCCCCCCCAAGGCACCATAACAAGTTCGAAAACTGCTCCCAGTCCAACATGTACCAGATGTCATGTGTCAGCAAAGGGCCTTCACAACTTCTGTGATGTGGGAGCCGCAGCTCCGATCCAGGCCGTCGCTGCTGCTTACGGTGGCTCCGCACCAGACACCCAGGTGTGCCAAGCAGGGTGGCAGGCGAAACCCACCCAGCAGCAGGGGCTGAATTTCGAGGGAGAAGTCCCTCGTTTTGGGACATATCCTAGTTGCGTTCAGAAGAGGGACCCCCAACAGGGTTCGGGGTCTATTCTTCGCCTGCAGGGTGCTCGACTCCCCGCACATGAACTTAACTTGTGAACTTTGAGGATGCGATGGAAGGGCGCTGCCGGCAGGTGAGTGTCCATATATATATATATATATGGTACCCCCCCCCCCAAAGATCTAGGTATTTTCATGGTTTTGGGATCTGTTTTAGGGTTTAAGGGTTGGGGGTGGGGGGCTAGCTAAACATGTAAAACTCAATATGGACATGTGAATCTTGATATGTGCGAGTCTTCATATGTGCGTGGTCGTCTTTTCAAATTGTGAGCCCGATTGAAAACGATTGAAACGATTGAAATTCAATCGGAGACCGGATTGAAGATTGAAGATTGAAGATTCCCGGAAACCTTTTTTCTGGGAATCTTCAATCTTCAATCTTCAATCCTGCCCCCGATTGAATTTCAATCGTTTCAATCGTTTTTCAATCGGGCCCCCGATTGAATTTCAATCGTTTCAATCGTTTTTCAATCGGGTTCACGTCTTGTAAAGTGTCAGAATTAGCTTTCGTGACGTCGCTCAAGATCACGTGTCTTCGCAGACATTCCACTCGAAATATACTTGACCATTTGTGTTTGTAATACTCGCAATGGCTCGCATCCCAGTGGCTGGCTCAGTCTTATGGTTTTTATTGGTTTTTGCGGTGTTTCGGGAGCGTGGGTCCCACGCTAAAAATCGGTTTTACCGATGTTTTTGAAAGCCTACCTTCAAAATAACATCGGTAAAACCAATGTTTTTGAAAGCCTACCTTCAAAAAAATAGGTAAAACCAATGTTATTGAAGGCCTACCTCTAAAAAACATCAGTAAAACCGATGTTCCATGCTCCCAAAACATCGCAAAAAAAAACAATTAAAAAAAAAAAAAAAACATGTCAAAAACCATGATTTTCGAAACTAGTGGCTGGGGTAGCCGGCCGAGTAGTTTCAGAAACCATAGTTTTTATGTTTCTTATTGGTTTTTGCGGTGTTTCGGGATCGTGGGCTAAACCTTTAAGCCCTGTAGGCTATACGGTTAAGGTTTAAAGGTTTAGGGTTGAAAAGTTCAACAGTCAGCCCATAGAGTTTAAACCTTAAGGGTCCTAAACGCTTAACCTTTAAACCCTATAGGCCATAGGGTTAAGGTTGAAAGGCTTAGGGTTTAAGATTTTGGCATTAAAACACAAGCCCATAGAGCTTAAGCCTTAAGGGTTTAAGGTTTCAGCATTGAAACGATAACCCTAAGCCCTTTAGGGTCAGAACCTTGAAGCCCTGTAGGGCTCTAAAACGTTAACAGGGTTTAACCCTATAGGCGTTGAATGTATAAATGCCCAGACATTACGCTCTCTTTAACCTTTCAGCCCTATAGGGTCTAAAGGCTTAGGGTATTTCTTAAGCCCTGAGGGTTTAAAACCTTAAGCCCTCAAGGTGGGCTTGGGTTTAAATGCCTAAATCTTGAATCCTAAACCTTTAAACCTTAACCCTATAGCCTATAGGGTTTAAAGGTTAAGCGTTTAGGCCCCTTAGGGTCTGAACTCTATAGGCTTACTTTTAAAACCTGAACCCTTAAACCTTGACCCTATAGCCTATAGGGTCTAAAGGTTAAGCGTTTAGGCCCCTTAAGGTTAAGGGTCCTTTAAACCCTATAGGCCATAGGGTTAAGGTTGAAAGGCTTAGGGTTTAAGATTTTGGCATTAAAACACAAGCCCATAGAGCTTAAACCTTAAGGGGGGTCCAAAGGCTTAGGGTATTTCTTAAGCCCTGAGGGTTTAAAACCTTAAACCCTTAAGGTGGGCTTGGGTTTAAATGCCTAAATCTTGAATCCTAAACCTTTAAACCTTAACCCTATAGCCTATAGGGTTTAAAGGTTAAGCGTTTAGGCCCCTTAGGGTCTGAACTCTATAGACTTACTTTTAAAACCAAAACCCTTCAACCTTGACCCTATAGCCTATAGGGTCTAAAGGTTAAGCGTTTAGGCCCCTTAAGGCTTTAACTCTATGGGCCTGCTATTGAACTTAAACCCTAAACCATTAAACCTTAGCCCTATAGCCTATAAGGCTTAAAGGTTACGTGTTTAGGCCCTGTACGCTAAGATTTACACTCGATGGGCTTAGGTTTAAATGCCTAAATCTTAAGGCCTAAACCTTTTAAGCCTTAACCCAAAAGGGTTTTATGGTTAAGGGTTCAGGTTTAAATGGCGGTTAAATCTTCAACTTCACATCGCCTCCGGGCCCATGCAAGTATTCAACTTGATATCGCTAAATCATGAAAATACCTAGATCTTTGGGGGGGGGGTAGCATATATATATATATATATGTATATTTTTGCACACACATGTCCGTAAATGTTCATTGTGCGTGCACTTCCAGATCTACTTTTTATTTTCAATGCCTTTCTTCACCAACCAAACCACCTGCTTCATAAAACAAGTTGCGCACACCACCGAAGAGTTGCAAACCTTTGAAAGATTGAAGAAAATAGTTAATTTGAACTGTACCAGTAGTGGTGTGTGGTGTGTCGAATCCATATTGGCGTCAATCCTAACTGGCTTTCGTGGACCTCGGCTGTGCCGCTCAAGTACACACTTGTAGACACTTTATCTAATCTAATATACATGTACAATATTAAGTCCATATATTGTGCAGCATCACTGCCCCCCCCACCCCCCCCCCCCCCCACCCCCCCCCCCCCCACCCCCCCCCCCCCCCCACCCCCCCCCCCCCCCCCCCCACCCCCCCCCCCCCCCCCACCCCCCCCCCCCCCCCCCCCCCACCCCATGGTACCCCCCCCATGGCCCCCCTGTGGGGTGGTGTGGTTGGGGTTTGGGTTGAGGGTTTAGGGCTTAGGGCTTAGGGTTTAGGACTGGGGTTTAGGGTTTAGGGTTTAGGGCTTAGGGCTTAGGGTTTAGGGTTTGGGGTTTAGGGTTTAGGGTTTAGGGTTTAGGGTCCACGCCCCGCCCCCCTGTGGTTTGGGCCGCCCTGTGGGGTGGTGTGGTTGGGGGCGTTGAGGGTTGAGGGTTTAGGTTTAGGGTTTAGGGTTGGGGGGGTTTAGGGGTTTCGGGGTTTAGGGGTTTAGGGTTTAGGGGGGGTGGGGTGGGGGGGTGGGGGGGGGGGGGTACCGACACGGGACACGGAACCAGATATAGAACATCATATTGTACATGTCTACACACCCTGGGAGCCAAGGTACTGCGTGGCATCCCGAGGAGTCAACTTGGGGTGAGTGCTTGGACCACTTTGCTTTCGAAACTCTTCACCATGGCTTGAGAAGATGGCCCGGCCAGGCAGCAACCCCCTGCAGGCCCATGAAGCCCTAGTGGTAGTAAGCTTCTAGGCCGAAGTACATAGGGACCCTTCCAGTTTTGAGTGCTCTCCTCACGCCGCACTCGAACCCACAGCTGCAAAAGCTGTTGACTAGCAGGAGATATCGACCCTTTGGGGGCCGGTCTGGGATGGGCTTGCGATGAGCTTGGCCGCATGGGCAGCTTGACGGTTTCATGGAATATTCAGAGTTCAGTGCCTAACGGCCAGGCAATACCAGGCCACAATCCGAGCCGGCCGCAGGGGTTGAATTTGAATTCACAACTTGGTCATGAAACAGTTGAGAAGTCCAAGGCCATGATTGCACTGAGGGCCGGCCATCTGCATGCCGCTTGAACGCACAGAGACCCTGTGGAGAGGCTCTTGGCCGAAGTCTCTAACTAGCACGGCTGAGCATGGCTCATCTTGCTCTGCAAAAAGGCAGTGAAGACGTCTACACGCAGAGTGACTGGGCCTTCTCCATGTATTTCGAGCTCATGAAGGCGGATCTGCATTCCATATGGCTTATAGTTTCGATGCCGTAAAGCCGGCTGGTCTTCAACGCATGCTGCGCGTCGGTTGCTGTGCTTCTCTTGACCTGCGCTTGGCTGTATACAAATCTGTGTTGGAGCCATGGTCGGCAAGTCTATGCAATTCACGTCGAACCATTGGTAGACTTCATCCTATAACTATGGCTGCAACGGGAAGAAATGCATAGAAACCCTCGACTGTTTGCTGCCGTGACACGGTTCGCAAACTGCTTGGCATTGGGATGGTCTAAACTGCGGCCTCTGTCAAGATTTTGAGGGACGCCGCATTTGAGAATTAGACAGAGGGGTTGCTGTGTGAGACATGTGCTCTCAGAGCTGTGCTCTTCTGCAGGAAAAAGGATCTGCCGAGTCAATCTGCAACTTCGGTGGCGTTGGCATTGTGACTGCGCTCCCAGCTTCTCGGATGCCTGAGCTGCTCTTCTTGCGGCTGTGTGCTTGGAGTATCAGTGGCATGTGGAAGGGAGGAGCCATGATGAGCCCCCGAAACCCTAAACCCTAAACCCTAAACCCCTTCACATGGAGAGTGCTTAACCTCCGACTGCACGTCAGGGCCGGCTCGACTGCATGGCTGTGAAAACCGCCGTCTCAACCACGGAATCGATGCCGACGACCACTGGCGCAGTGCCGCCGAACCCAGGCCGGCGCGACCTTGCGCTTTGTGGCTTTTAGGGTTGAGGGTTTCGGGTTTAGGGTTTAGGGTTTAGGGTTGCAAACACCTCATGCTTGGTATTCGTGAGTCTTCAACAGCAGATCATGTGCATGTACATGGTAAATTACATAGGTTTTTTAGACCTGGAGCTTTGGCTTGCAGACCGCCCTCCGCCGCAAAGTGGCAGCCTCCTGGGCAACTGGGTTTGGTGACTCGGTTGAGGCCGAATTGAATCTGAAAAATATGGAAAAAGTTGCACGAACCTTGGGATGACATAGGCAACTGGCCTCCCCATGCACTTCCCAAGTGGGGCATTTTGGATTCCTTGAGCTGAGTATCCACCCCAACCTCTCCTATGACGATACCGCCCCGCCCGCTGTCCAGGGTGTCAAAAATGCCGTTGATACCCACTTTGTAGGTTCATGGTACCTAAATTTTAATAACCAATTATAACTGTGCTTATAACCCAGTTATAAAGTACAGCTATAATTGGTTAATAAGTACCATGAACCTCCAAGCAGTCATCGTGGACAGGGCCTTCGAGTCGAGGGTTCGGGGCTCGCGTATGAGGGTTGAATCCAAGGTGGGCTCTTGCTGCAGCGGCACTTTTGCTGGGGATCGTCCTCTGCGTGCGGGTCCGCCGGCGGCAATGATAATAGCACACAGCAGCTCGTGTTCTCCGTCGCCGCATGAAGCCTGCAGACTGTGTGTGTGTGGCTTCATTGCTCCCAGTGCTCCCGCAAAATCCTGGAAATGCAAGCCCTCCAAACCTTTCTCAGCCGCTCTGCTTCAACTTCCCAGGCGCGGCAGCAGCCCACAGCAGCACGAACCGTGCGTCAGGCTGGGCAGGATGTCCTAGGATGTCGGGATCCCGCCGGTGCTGCTGCAAGATCTATAGGTCTCGGTTTGGGAGGTTTATCATAAAGTTTACAAGGCAAGCACTTAGAGTGGGGGGGCCTCATCTGCTTGAGTTGTGGGGCTGCAGCCGTCATAGCCGCATACGCGAAGAATGAATCAAGGGCGTATAAGTTCCATTCCACAACTGGCCTTCATGCGTATTCGTTGCCCTTCTGGAGACCCATTCGTTGCCCTTCTGGAGTAAGATGCCCCAAAAAAACTATCAGCAATGTTTCTGGGTATCTAATATTGCCATCAAAGTGCTACAAAAGTGGGACTTTTCTTGGAAACTCCACGGGTGCCAGGACTCCACTGCATCCACGGAGTTCGAGATGGCACGGGCTTGAATCGTTTCTTTGCCTCTAAGCTACCAGAAAAAGGGTGTCCAACTTGGCAGCTCCAGCTCAGCTTTGGCTGGTTTAGGGTTTAGGGTTTAGGGGTTAGGGGTTAGGGCTTAGGGCTTAGGGGTTAGGGGTTATAGGGGTTTAGGGCCCACAGGCCAAAGGCCGTTGTGGGCTTTGCCTGCTGGCAGATGGCGTCTTGTGTTCTACCGACGGCTGGGCCTGTTTCGTTCCGAGATGCTGCGAGACGCTGTAAGAGACGGGGGGTGGCGAAGTCGTCTGCAGCTTGTTTGGCTTGCATCTTGCTTTGGTCATGTAGAACATGTTGTCACGTCCGCACAGCGGTTAAGGAGGATGAGGGTGCTAGCTCCGGACCACCAGCAACTTCGAACAGTTCCCAGTCCAAACCTCAAACTCCCCACACAATTCCGAAACTTCAGTTCCTGCTCGACTCCTCGACTATCAGAATCGGATGTGGGTCACAGCAGGGGGTTGAATCAAGCCATTGGAGTGGTCGCAATGACGCGGCTGCTGCCCAATGCTCTCGTTGATGAGGCAGGTTTGTCAGACTTGACTGCCAATGAATGCTTTGACTCTGATGCACTCTGCCAATGATCGCATGCTGGCTCGTCATGCTGGTCCTGACAGGCTTCAGCCGTGTAGGGCTCACAGGAATGGATTGGTTCAAGCAGGAGGCATGCCCCACACAGAGTCCCTGACAAGTACCGAACGACAGACACCGCTTGAACTATGTATGGAGGCTCGCTTGTTGCCGCGATCGGCGACATTATATGTACATGTATGTATATATATATATGTTTATATGTAGACTACAATATATATATATATATACATACACATATTTATTTATTCATATAGAATACTAGACCAAGCCCACTCACAAAGCCATTCATTCGGGTTTCAAGACAGACTACTTGCGCGCAGCCATGGACAGCAAGGAGCTTGTTCCTGCTGGAGTAGGCGGCGGATCCACTGCCTCTGCACCGGCTCCTTGTGGTCCTGGCGCCTGTGGAGGCTGCTGTCCCGGCTGCTGTCCAGGCTGCTGTCCGGGTTGCGGGGGGTGCCCCTGCTGTCCGTGTGGCGGCTGCTGTGGCCCCTGCGGCTGTCCATGTGGCGGCTGCGGATGCGGGCCCTGCGGTCCTTGCAGCCCCTGCGGATGCGGCTGCCCACGCCCCACTGGACCAGGAGCTTGCCCGGGCTGCGGAGCATGCCCTAGTTGTCCAGGCTGCCCAAACGCTTGTCCCTGCCCTGGCGGGTGTCCTGGCGGGTGTCCTGGCTCATGCCCTGGCGCGTGCCCTGGCGCGTGCCCTGGCGCGTGCCCAACCGGATGTCCCGGCTGCTGCCCGGGAGGATGCGGAGCCTGCCCCGGCGCTTGCCCCGGCGCTTGCCCCGGCGCTTGCCCCGGCGCTTGCCCAGGCTGCCCTGGCATGATGGGCCCAATGGCAGGGGGCAACAACCCGATGATGGCCATGATGATGAGCCTCCCTTCGCAATTCGTGCTGGGCCGGCCAACATAAACTCGCCGATGTTGTTCTCTAGATATGCCTTTTGTATGTAAAATATTTGTTGTGTGTGTGTGTGTGTGTTCATGTGCAGTTTGCCCCATGCTGAGGATGGGCATGATGAACATGCAGCAGATGATGGCCAAAGCTGGCGGGGCTCCACCTGAACGGGCCATGAGCGCCATGAGTCCCATGAACCCCATGGCTGCCATGATGGGAGCCTTATCTGCTGAGTTATTACTAGCAAACTAAGCCCCAGGAGTCGTCCCGAACTTGTGAGCACTTGTCTGCACCACAGCCCTGCTCTTCAAGGCATGGGCGGTAATAATATGGGCAGCAGTCCACAAGCCGAGAAGGACGGGCTAAGGCTTTCCGAAATCATCGAAAGTATAGGCTCACAATCATCGAGAACGCGGGTGCAGCCCTGCTCGACACAGGAAAAGCCGACCTTAAAGGAAGATGACGACGAGATTGATCCTGACATCCGCGAACTCGGGGACTCTAGGACTTCAACACAGGAGCAATTCTTCATGCTTCGCGTCTGCTTCGGTGCCTGATAGGCGCAGGTCGCTCGCTGCATGACCTCCCTCTCTCTTGCGATGCATGTGTGCGCAGTGTTAGACTCGACGACAGGGGCTGAAAGACCCCGGCGGAACCTCACCTGAACCCGAACACCTACGAGTATACGGCGAACATGTCTACAGCAGCCACCAGCGGTGACAACAGAAAAGCACATAGTCGCCAACACCGCGGCAAACACGCACCAAGGACTATTTCAACATCGAGGAGCGATGGGTGGTTCGCCTAAATGAGGCCGGGCTGCGGTTGAGGTTCAGAATCTTTCAAGCACGAGTTTGATTCGACTGCATGCGAATGTCTCGGCAGGCAATGAAGAAGCGACAGGACACGAAGACTGTGGACATCGAGAAGCTTTATGAAGTCTTAGAGTTCATGGCGGCACTTACTTCTGCGGCATTTTTAGTGCAACCATGTGCAGCCTTGAACTCGCAAATGAAGAGAGATGGATGTGCAGCATCTGAGGAGAAAGCACGAAGTCCGACGGGGCTGCTAACGGTGCAAATCGGCAAAATGGAATGCGGGCAGTTCGTTGGCAAGATCAAGCCGGACAAGGACGTGGAGCGGATGGCAAGCAACTTGGGCAGCGCTCCGTTCACTAGCCCGGATTTGTGGGTTCCAGGTCGCCACGGTTGTTTTCATGATGGGAGTTGGCAACATCAGGGTTTTTTTTCAGCTTTCTTTTTAGATCATCTAGGGGCTCGTTCCGCTGTTGGGCTTTCTCTCTCTCACTTAGCTCGGAGCTTGCTTATGTTGATTGCGTTGAAATTCCACAGTCCTGGCATGGAATTCTTTCAACCCTGGGGTTCTTTTTCCTTGAGAATCATCATGCATCAACTCGCGTCGTGCCCGACAGCACCTGGTCAGCCGGCACAAGGAAAGTTCAAGCTCGACGATCCCGTGACCTCACGGTTGACTGAGCTCAAGGCTTCGGGATGGCTGAGCGTAGCAGATAGATTAATCTATATGTAAATAAATACAGAGATAGATATGTAAGTCTATAAAATACAAATAGATAAATATATCTATAGTCTATATATATATATATATGTATATGTACTTATGTACTTATTTATGTATTTATATTTATATTTACATTTGTGCTAATATTACTAATGTTCTTATGCATGATGTCGCAGCCCTTGCTAGCACACAGTGTAGTGGCACATTCTCTGCTGCGGAAGTAAGCTAGGCTGGGATGCCATGTAAGACATGAGCCAAACGCTAGCCCACTCAACAGACACCAGGTCTGGCGAAAGCGAAATGGTCAGGAAGACAGGGCTACGAAGGATCAACGGCTCTCAGTTTGCAGCATGTAGCATCACACAATCACACATGAGACGATGTCCATATGGCGTTCCTGATGTTGAGTCTTCTGGCAGGACTTGGAGAGAATAGAGTATCACCTGCGCTTTGCCAAGAGGCCCAACGCTTTGTGCACACTTCTGGTGGCTTGGTCAAAAAAAAACTCCCCCGTTGCTTCGGGCCGACACTTCGCAGGCAAACCTTAATCATACGATTCAGGTCGGGAAGCTTCTTGAAGGCGAGATGGATGAGCTGCCAGATCTCACCAAGGCGGAGAAGATCATGACGGATTACAAGCTGGATGAGGACCAATGTTTAGTGGAAATGCACCCACGAGCTATCGGAAGTACACCAAGGGCCTGTACTGTATGCAAGAGCTTAGCTGGCTCACTCGGGTTTGTAAATATTGCAGCTGTTGCGACTCAATTCACGTGGCCATGTTTCTTCACGATTGTTCATTGTTATGCTTGATTCATTTGATGCTTTGCTGGTAGCAATGAGAATCCGATTCGCTCCAATATGGCCAGGACGCTTGCTCGAAGATGCGGGAGATCATAGAGAAGCGCCGATGGCTCAGAAATCAGAGTCCTCAGACGTGTCTTGAGATGTCTTGAGAACTGCGCGCAATTGCTGTCCCAATTGGCCCAGCATGGCATGGTACGAAGTAAGACAAGTATGTAGAAGTCAGGCGCTGAGATGTCAAAGCTTGCTTCGATGTGTTGGTGTGGGACATGTGGCTTCCCTAAACCCTAAACCCTAAACCCTCCTTCAGGTTATGAAGACGAAGAACGCGTGCTCACCAGTGTTCGGAAGCACCTGAACAGTGCCAGCAACGCTTCCTCGATGTCCCTGACCTGTAGTAACTTTTGTAAACCAGGGTTTAGGGTTTAGGGTTTAGGTTTAGGGTTTAGGGTTTAGGGTTTAGTGGGTTTTGGTTTAGGGTTTAGGGTTTAGGGTTTAGGGTTTAGGGTTTAGGGTTTAGTGAGTTTAGGGTTTAGGGTTTGGTGGGTTACTTACTGGCCACTCAGTGCTCGAAACAACCAGTTTGTCATTGCATCTTCCGGAAATTCACGAGGCTTCTGTTTGGACGCCCGAAATGAAGTCATGGAGTGGCAAGTTAGCGGCATCCAATAAGAGGCCGTTGTTTTTGGCATTTCAGAACAAATCCATCCTAGGTTGTGCAAGATTGCCCGGCAGCTCATCGATGGGGGCGACTTGCCAGATCCACCCGAGCGGCCGCCGAAGGGCAAAGGCGGCGGCAAGGACGGTGGCAAGGACGACGGCGAGCGTGGCGAGCGCGGCTTGACTGCCATCGGAACCCATCGGAACCCATCGGAAGCTTGGGTTTAGGGTTGAGGGTTTGGGGTTTGGGGTTTGGGGTTTCTACTGCCATTGGAACCTGGGGAGAGATTTCGTTTTAGCTGGTTGAAAATGTTATCCCAGGTAGAGACCGTGATGGCGGCGATCGGCATCACGATCGAGACCGCGACCGCACTGCAAATGTTAGAGAGTCAACATAAACCCACCTATACTCAGTACAACCGCACTGCTTGGGAGCCGTGCGCAAGATACGGACAACCTGCACAGCCCAATGTCGAACACCTCACAACCACAATTGAATGCTTTGACAGTTGGGTTGCACAAAGCAATTGTCACAGAGTTGGACAGGAGAGACCACGAGATGCCCCCGAGTTTTCCAGCCTTGCTAAATGTTGCGCGCCATTTTCTGCAAAAGGCCTTCTGACTGGCACTTACTATCTCATTGAATCACAATTCAAGAGGCACATGTATCACATGTGTCCTTCAGTTGGTGGCTATCTCAAGGCAACGACAGAGGGCACAAGCGCGACCGCAGCCGCAGCCGCGATCGGCGGGAGCGTCGCGACAGCCGTGGCCGCTAGTGGCACCAGCAGCTGCTGAAAAAGAGAAACTCGCGACGTGCTGCCGTGCTGTCGCCCGACTTGTCAATGACCTGCCTACGACCATCAAAGGGTACAACAAGCTTTTCCGAACAAAATGTACCTTGCTTCAAAGGATGCTGTAGACTCTGGGATTCTATAGCTGACTCGCTATAGGCCCTAAGCTCTATCGACCCGGAAGTATAACCTTGAACCTGACCATAACCTTGTCAGGAGAGCACTGGTGTGACCATGCGCGTTACCCTGCCCAGATACCAGAGAAAGAAAAGCAGCTTATCTCCAAACCCTCACGATATACCACCCTTCCCCCCCCCCCCCAGTAACAGAGGTTGACCATCGTCTTGCTTCCGGAATGATTCGTATATGATCCTTGGAGTTCTATCCGGAGCCGGAAGTGTTATGCCTGGCAGAAAGGAAGTCGTGTTGCCATTTTCGGTGTTAGTAATGCATCATGCCCATGCGAAGTCTCCAGTCTTATGAGATCCTGTTGTTGCTCTTCTCGACGTGCTTCAGCCATGGAATGCTCCATGGACCTTAAGCAAGTGGCCACGATGGGACTATGGGTACGGACAAAGCTCGCACAGCAACCTCTGGGCCCACATGGGACAAGGCAGCCATACATGTGACTGTCTGACTAGCTAACTGCCCCACTTGACGACAACAGGACGCTGCCATGTCACAGACACCGAGCTGCTAGCCAAGTGGGTGACGTGGGTAAATTTTGGCACAGGGCTTCAGCTTCTAGGGCAGTCTGGGCGCAGCCATGGACAGCAAGGAGCTTGCTCCTGCTGGAGAAGGCGGCGGATCCACTGCCTCTGCACCGGCTCCTTGTGGTCCTGGTGCTTGTGGAGGTTGCTGTCCAGGCTGCTGTCCGGGTTGTGGCGGGTGCCCATGCTGTCCGTGTGGCGGCTGCTGTGGCCCTTGCGGCTGTCCATGTGGCGGCTGCGGATGCGGGCCCTGCGGTCCTTGCAGCCCCTGCGGATGCGGCTGCCCACGCCCCACTGGACCAGGATCTTGCCCGGGCTGCGGAGCATGCCCTAGTTGCCCTGGCTGCCCAAACGCTTGTCCCTGCCCTGGCGGGTGCCCTGGCCCGACTGGATGTCCTGGCTGCTGCCCGGGTGCGTGCGGAGCCTGCCCCGGTTGCCCCGGCGCTTGCCCCGGTTGCCCCGGCGCTTGCCCCGGTTGCCCCGGTGCTTGCCCGGGCTGCCCTGGCATGATGGGCCCCATGGCAGGCAACAATCCGATGATGGCCATGATGATGAGCCTCCTCTGGTAACTTACGACTCAGGTTGCGACTGCTACAGTCAAGGCGTTTTCCGTTCTTGGTACTTCTATTTACTAAGCCAAGGATGATGAATATGCAGCAGATGATGGCCAAAGCCGGTGGGGCCCCACCGGAACAGGGGATGAGTGCCATGAATCCCATGGCTGCCATGATGGGTGCCTTGGTCGTCAGCAGCATGCGTGCGCTGTCGATCCCCGCGGGTCCGGCACAGTTGATCTGTCCCAGGGTATTAGCACTCACTTGAAGGACTTTGTGTCTTGACGAGCCCTATAATATTGAAGCGCCCTGAACTGCCTCGGTCTGCAAGGCATGGCGAACATGGGGGGTGGCGGCGCTGGCCCTCCAGCACCGGAGAAGGAGAGCAAATTCAATCGTGGTTCTCCTTTTGCTGCTGGCCTTTGGGGGGTTCTCGATGAGCTAGATTGCATGTGGGGGTGCGTGAGCCACAAGTTCCAGAATGTCTGTACAGGATGATGATGTAGCACGGTACTGTATGGCTTAGCCATGTCTGAATATAAAAAATGGGGTGCGTGATCTAGTGAGTGAGGAGGGGAAGTGGAAGATCTTGAAGATAATAGGAGAAACAGCCATGTTCTGCTTGCAAGTTCTCCTGGCCAGCACAAGGGTGCGTCCAGTGCAAAGACGAGTCTAGCCAGTGCTGGAGTACTTGCGGGGTGAGAAAAAATCACTGTAGTGATGATGGTCCGGCCATAGGAGAAGCCGACGATAAAGGACGATGATGACGAGACGATTGACCCCGATCTCCGTGAGCTCGGGGTTCCTGCGTTGCACACAGTATATCGAACGTAGGGTTCCTCCAGCAGGCATGCCGGACGTGCTACTTTCACGGCGAACGACATCAGCACCATGATTGTGCAGCATACTCAGAATGCATAGAAACACTTTATAGAAACCTAAGGACTACTTCAACATCGAGGAGCGCTGGGTGGTTCGCTTAAACGAGGCCAAGCCAGCAGCTTCCCACGGCTGAGTCATGGAATACTAATAAGGTGCTACTCGAGAGGGCCTGAATTTGGAGTCTGCTGAGAGGCCATGAAGAAGCGACAGGACACGAAAGCCCAGGACATTGAGAAGCTTTATGAGGTCTTGGAATCCGCGGCTGCACTTCTCGCTACAAGGGTGATTATATGTCCGACCCAAAGAGGAGGCCCCTAAACCCTAGACCCTGAACAAAAACCCTAAACCCTAAACCCTAAACCGAGGAGAAGGCTAGAAGCCCGACGGGGCTGCTGACGGTGCAAATCGGCAAAATGGAGTGCGGGCAGTTCGTTGGCAAGATCAAGCCGGACAAGGATGTGGAGCGGATGGCAAGAAACCCTGCCGCACTTGTTCGGCCTCAAGCAACATAGCTGCCATGCCCCACTCCAGAAGCGTGCTTTCATGAAAGAGTCGCCCGCTGACTCCAAACGTCTTCATGCTTCTTGGCTATAGTGCTTCGTGCATGTACAGCCTTCAGGAAAGTTCAAGCTTGACGACCATGTGACGTCAAGGGTGACGGAGCTGAAGGCATGGAGCGGTATGTGATGGTAAGTGCTGACTGTTGCGCGGGCGAAATGCCATAGAAGGGATTGTCGCAGGCGGCGCTGTGAAGGGTCACTCTGGAGTCTGGAGACAATATCTGCAGAGCATGCTGTTCACAGTTGTCCGTCAGATTTCCTCGCCGAGTGCGAGCCTGGCAGGTATGGCGCAAGCGCAATGGCGAAGAGGATCGGGCCATGAAGGACTGTCTTGTTGAAAGTCATGTATGATGGGCGAATTCCCTGTGCTGCAAGAAGAAGACCACTTTACCTACGCAGCAAAAGTCAGCCATTTTTCCAACTGCCACCTTTGCATTGCTGCCTTGGGATTTTGGCAGAGTTGTGTCATTGGATCTGGACTGACCATCATTCCAATGGTTTCAAGTGGTGTTGCCTCCTGCTGATCTGGCATCCAATTGAAACACTGAGTTACTGAGTTGTTCTCAGCTGAGTGCCTTTGATCTATGGGAGGTAACCGATGTCGGTCTCGCAGTTTTTCTCAGTTTCGGACAGTGGCACGGCCTGACACTTCCCTGGAATGTACGTTAAATCAAATCAGAGTTGATTTCACCCCACGTCCCCGGCCCCTACCACCTTCCTGCCGACATGAACTACACATCGTTTCGGGTGATGTCCTGATCTTGCCCGAGACAGCTTTGATGTGGAGGACTTGGAGCGGATAGAGTATCACCTGCGCTTCGCCAAAAGGCCCAATGCGCTGTGCACGCTCCTCGCGGCCCGGATCAATTGCCTGATAATTAAATGTGGGGGGGGGGGGGTCCCGAAATTAGGGGTACCTTATTGGCGTCCTCATAAAAAGGTGATCCTACTATTTGGGGGTCTGTATGAGGGCTCCCCTATTCTCGTAAACTCCCAAAATGCAACTTTCGTTTTTTTTGAAATTGCTCCTAAGTTGCACTGTCAAGTTGAGGTGGGGCGGCTCTTAGAAGGTGAGATCGACGAGCTGCCAGATCTGACCAATGCTGAAAAGATCATGACCGATTTCAAGTTGGACGAGGACGACATGGGGCGTGTGGCTGGGGGAATTGATATAAATCAATAAACAAATAAATATAATATATATATATATATATTTATATTTATTTATTTATTTACTTATGTGTTTTTTCTATATGGCAAGAGCTATAATTAAAATCAAGTGGCGGGTTTACCACTGGTTTACCTGTGTTTTACCTGGTCTGACCATTGGCGGCGGGCAGCACTCGAGTCTCGAAACTGTCCCGCTGCAGCTTCAAAAGCCTCTGAAATAATCTGAGATACCTGTAGGACGCTTGTTCCAAGATGAGGGAGATCATCGAGAAGCGTCACTTGCTCAGCACAAACATCTCCATGGGGGTTTGCAGCTTTGCAGTGGTGTTCGCACTTGAGTTTCTGAGCGTATTGAGGGAGATGGGTGACAACCATCAGTCATGCCACAAACTTGAGGTCCTTTCAGTTTGCTCCCGGGTCTATGTGCCAAGACTGTTATTTTAGCCTTTCTGACTTCATGTAAGCTTTTTGGCGAAGCATGCATAGTCGGGGGTGCGAAAGGTGCGCCCAAAACATGAATCGCAGATATTTCGTCGTGTCGGAGCTTTGCACAGCACTCGCCCCTTCCCCGATGTGCATTGGCCGGTGCACATGTGTTCACGCGCATCATGCTCAAGTCGGTGAAGCCCTGCTGAGTGCTGGCCACTAGCCCTCTAGGACTCCAGGCTTGATATGCGACTAGGGCCATCGCCTAATTCCCTGTGCACTGCATGCCGGTGGCATGCACATGCAAGCATGACTGGACAGCCCCGAGTTTCGCGCAGGCTCTGCCGACGAAGAGCGCGTGCTCACCTCTGTTCGAAAGCACTTGAAGTCGGCGAGCAATGCTTCGTCAATGCACCTAAGCTGCGGAAAGGCGAGGGTTCAAGCAAATCTGCCATGTCAGAGTGTTTCCTCTTGTCGTATTTTACATGTATTCGACATGAAGGCTTGTTCTAAGAGCCATTTAGAGTCTGTGGCAGTCTCAAAGTCCGGACAGCCCAACACATGCACATCCTGCGCAGCAGCCGTGAGGTTGTGCAAGATAGCCCGGCAGCTCATCGATGGGGGCGACTTGCCAGATCCACCCGAGCGGCCGCCGAAGGGCAAAGGCGGCGGCAAGGACGGTGGCAAGGACGATGGCGAGCGCGGCGAGCGCGGCTTGACTACCTTTAGCACCTGGACATGATGTTTCGTTGTGGTTGATGGTCCTCAAAAAATGCCAGGTAGAGACCGTGATGGTGGAGACCGGCATCACGATCGAGATCGAGACCGCAACTGCGAAGCAAAATTGGCAAGGAAAGATAAACTCCTGTCATCTCCTGTCAGAGGTTGCGAGACGGTGGGTCGGGAAAAGTCCCCCCCTTGCCCTTGCCATCAGAGGCCACAAGCGCGACCGGAGTCGCAGCCGAGACCGACGGGAGCGCCGCGACAGCCGTGGCCGCTAATCTTGCAAGCGTCGCAAACAGCCCAGGAAAAACGTGTGGCAGTCCGGCAGCCAATCGTGGTGAGCATAGTGAGTATGAGCTTATGGCCTGGCGGGATGCTCCAACAACTTTTGGGTGGCCTCTGCTTGCTCACCAGCGAGGGGCTGCTGACGGAGCCTGATGGAGCCTAACTGCTTGCATCAATGCACTGCCCTAGGAGATCCTGTTGTTGCTATTTGTTGCTCTTCTCAACATGCTTCAGCCATGGAGGGTTCAATGGCCATGTGGGAGTGTGGGGACATCAAGCTCACACGACAGACTGTGGGTCCGCAATCCAGGATTGCATCATGACAATGCAGCCACGCACGTATAACTTCAAACTGCCCTGGTACCACTTGACAACTGCGCTCTGCCATGTCACAGACAGACACCGTACTGCTAGCCAAGTGGGTGAAGTGGGTGAACTAGACACACAGCTTCAGCTTCTAGGGCAGTCTGGGCGCAGCCATGGACAGCAAGGAGCTTGCTCCTGCTGGAGAAGGCGGCGGATCCACTGCCTCTGCACCGGCTCCTTGTGGTCCTGGCGCCTGTGGAGGTTGCTGTCCAGGCTGCTGTCCAGGCTGCTGTCCGGGTTGCGGGGGGTGCCCCTGCTGTCCGTGTGGCGGCTGCTGTGGCCCTTGCGGCTGTCCATGTGGCGGCTGCGGATGCGGGCCCTGCGGTCCTTGCAGCCCCTGCGGATGCGGCTGCCCACGCCCCACTGGACCAGGAGCTTGCCCGGGCTGCGGAGCATGCCCTAGTTGCCCTGGCTGCCCAAACGCTTGTCCCTGCCCTGGCGGGTGCCCTGGCCCGACTGGATGTCCTGGCTGCTGCCCGGGTGCGTGCGGAGCCTGCCCCGGCGCTTGCCCCGGCGCTTGCCCCGGTGCTTGCCCGGGCTGCCCTGGCATGATGGGCCCCATGGCAGGCAACAATCCGATGATGGCCATGATGATGAGCCTCCTCTGGTAACTTACGACTCAGGTTGCGACTGCTACAGTCAAGGCATTTTCCATTCTTGGTACTTCTACTTACAAAGCCAAGGATGATGAATATGCAGCAGATGATGGCCAAAGCCGGTGGGGCCCCACCGGAACAGGGGATGAGCGCCATGAACCCCATGGCTGCCATGATGGGTACCTTGGTCGCCTTGGTCGTCAACAGCATGCATGCGCTGTCGATCCTTGTAATATTGAAGCGCCGTGAACTGCCTCGATCTGCAAGGCATGGCGAACATGGGGGGTAGCGGCGCTGGCCCTCCAGCCGCAGAGAAGGAGAGCAGATGGTGCGCATTGCTTGCGAAGAGCCTACACTTGTGTATGTTGCTTATACATGTATATGTGTGGATATATACACTTGTTTAGGCGAATTTTCAGGTACGTTTCCAGCACCACACTGTTAGGCTCTTCGTTGGCCAAACTCTAACAGTGAGTGGAGCGGCCCCCTGCGCACGTCTTAAATGAATTCAAAAGCGACTGATGTGATTTGCTCCGACCCTTGGTCCAACAGGTTTTGTGCGCGCGCACACACACACACATGTGCACACACACAAGCGCAGACAGAGACAGAGATACAGCCACAGAGGCACAGCCACAGCCACAGACACAGACACTGAGACTGAGACTGAGACTGAGACTGAGACAGGGACAGAGACAGAGACAGAGACACACACACACACACACACACACATAAAGCACAATACCTTAGCAGGGAGTGTGTTTTTTGCCAGCCTACACCCCCAAACCCTAAACCCAGTGTATGTGTGGGTATGACCAGCCAGGGAGAGCTCATGGATCTTGCCGGTGCTGTTCATATATAAAACATGAAGCCTTGTCTGGACAACGGCCGTGCGACATAGTCGGAAATAGCATGCGCAATTCTCGCCGTATACAGGAGAAGCCGATGATAAAGGAGGATGATGACGAGACGATTGACCCCGACCTCCGCGAGCTCGGGGTTCCTGCGTTGCACACATGCATTGTTCAGTTCTGAAGTCGTTTCTGCCAAGCCCGTGCAGTTTCTGATAATTTGGGAAATCTGAGAATTATGGATATCATAACGTCGGGAGTCCACAGAGGCCTTGCCGGATGTACAACTCAAGGATGGGCATATAGGAATATTTACCACCATAAGGGTACCCCGTTTCGACCCTGAAAAGAATAGAACCCCCTTAAGGGGACCCCCAAAACGGGTACCCCTATTGTCGGAAACTCCCATATAGCATCATCAGCACAGCTCCTCCAGAATAGTTAAGTGCCGCGGCATGGGCACGTGAGGACTACTTCAACATCGAGGAGCGCTGGGTGGTTCGCTTAAACGAGGCCGACTGGGCTGCCGTCATCTCGGGTCTATGGGTCTCCATGTGCATATCACCACGGATTTATTATAGCTTTCAATACGATAATCTGCCTGAAGGCCTACTGGTAGGGCGTGTCCTCCAAGCTTCTGCTGCTGAGAGGCCATGAAGAAGCGACAGGACACGAAAGCCCAGGACATTGAGAAGCTTTATGAGGTCTTGGAATCTGCGGCTGCACACTTCTCCAAAATTCTTGGTGGGTCCACGGCTACACGACCCAAATGATAGGCCTTCCTGTTGGTGAGTTGTTTGTGGCATGTCGTGCCGAGGAGAAGGCTAGAAGCCCGACGGGGCTGCTGACGGTGCAAATCGGCAAAATGGAGTGCGGGCAGTTCGTTGGGAAGATCAAGCCGGACAAGGACGTGGAGCGGATGGCAAGAAACGCTGCTGCACTTGTGCGGCTTTCAGCAAAACTGACTCTGAACGTCTTCATGCTTCTTGGCTATAGTGCTTCGTGCATGTACCGCCTTCAGGAAAGTTCAAGCTTGACGACCATGTGACGTCAAGGGTGACGGAGCTGAAGGCAGGGAGCCATCAGGGCCGTTTTTCCTTTCCCGCATGACATCGGGAAGTGCCCAAGCAACCAGGGGTGAGCAGGCGCTTTTCAGAAATATATACATCGATAGATAGATAGATAGATAGCCCCGTGATGTCCCATGTGAGTCTCACTGCTGCTCTGAGATGGCGTGCCTCGTTTGGCTTGGCTCAGCTACTGCGCGTCAAGGCGGCCACAGTGGAAACATGCGGGGCCCTTGCTCAGACTTGGCAGGTCTGGCGTAAGCGCAATGGTGAAGAAGACAGGGCCATGAAGGACTTCATGCTTCTGTCGAGACTTTATGAGGGAAAGCTCAGCGAGGGATGGAATGAGAGCATTGGCGAACCTTTAGCTGTCTGCAGATTATATATATATATGTATATGTATCACATTGTATAAGGATGCTATACACTTCAGAGTGCGCAGTGTTGCACTGGAAGCCCAAACGGACCCTGTCTTGACAACAGCTGCAGAGAGCTGAGAGACTGCGTTGCAGGACTTGGAGCGGATAGAGTATCACCTGCGGTTCGCCAAGAGACCAAATGCGCTGTGCACCCTCCTAGACGCTCAGTCTACTTTCAGCACGCACGCGCACGATTGTACGTGTGCTTTGTGTTGGCCCGGACAGGGAGGGGGGGGGGGGGGGTTGGGGGAGCACATTTGATTTGGCTGAGAAAATCTAGTAGCCAGTAAGGTGGGCAGGCTGCTTGAAGGCGAGATAGATGAGCTGCCAGACCTGACGAATGCCGAGAAGATCATGACGGATTTCAAGCTTGACGAGGACACCATGAGCAGGTCCTAGGGCAGGCATGATGGCTGCAACCCCCAAAGTTTCTGAATCTAAATGAGACCTTGCCTCTGATTTCAATCTGGTGGAAATGCCCAAAAGGATGCCTGCTCGAAGATGAGGGAGATTATCGAGAAGCGCCCTTGGCTTAGTGCAACCGGGGCTTTGCCATAGGTCATACATCTTATTGCCTGTCGGTCAAGCAAGTCCCGCTTATGCCTCTTTCGGATCTCTTAACAACCGGAGGCAGCAAGAGACCTGCTCAGGCTCCGCCGACGAAGAGCGCGTGCTCACCTCTGTTCGAAAGCACTTGAAATCGGCGAGCAATGCTTCGTCAATGCACCTAAGCTGCGGAAAGGCGAGGGTTCAAGCAATTATGCTGCCATGTCAGAGAAAGTTTCCTTGTCTCGTTCCAGCGTCTGATTTGCATGTCTTCGACATGAAGGTTTGTACGAAAAGCAATACTGTAGAGGCTGTGGAAGCCTCAAAGTCCGGACAGCCCAACACATATGCATCCTGCGCAGCGGCCATGAGGTTGTGCAAGATCGCCCGGCAGCTCATCGATGGGGGCGACTTGCCAGATCCACCCGAGCGGCCGCCGAAGGGCAAAGGCGGCGGCAAGGACGGTGGCAAGGACGACGGCGAGCGCAGCTTGACCTGACCTATGGTTAAGTTGGGGGCATTGGGGGCACGAACGTTGGCTAAAGTTTGTCGCGTCGCAGCACAACGTGCTTAGGCAGAGATCGTGATGGTGGGGATCGGCATCATGACAGAGACCGTGCCTGCGTTTGCAAATTAAGGTTTGTTCGATCTGATTCCAAGAGTGTTTAGGGTTGAGGGTTAGGGAGTAGGGATCTATCGGAAATTGTTTGTATTCTAAGGCCATCTCTCATCACAGGTTTGTCACGTGCTGCGAGGGCTCTCGCAGAGGATGAAGTCTAAGGCATGTCAGCACATCACAAAGTGCCTGTTTGCATGTTTGTTGCAGACATCCTCAGGCAGTCCTCAGCATTCAGGCCCCACAAGACAAAGCTAACTACAGCATTTAACTTCTTAGCACATTCGGCAGCAAGAGATCCCAACGCACTTCACTCCAACACATACCAAGGCAACGACAGAGGCCACAAGCGTGACCGCAGTCGCAGCCGCGATCGTCGCGATCGCCGCGATAGCCGCGGCCGCTAGTGACGCAAGCACCATTGCAGATCGATCCGGGTTCTTGCCCAGTAGCATGGCACGAAAAGCAGTGCCGTGGCCCGCAGATAAAGATGAACAGATGTGAGAGTGTAGCGACAGCAGGTCGCCCCACC